CTAGATCTCTCCACTTTAGCCAGTTTTTAGAGTTCCACTCTTTTGGCTCATTAATAATTTCCCTTACTCTGGCTTTGTTTTCTCGTATGCTTTCCCACCCCGTGATGAACACCTGTTCTCTCCCCTGGGTCTGGTCCAATCTGTGATTTTATTTCTGTGTAGGATGGGAACTGGTTGTGGCTATTGTTGCCTGTTGTCTCTGAGTTTCCAACTTTAGCTAAGTGGCCATCCTCGAGCAGATTTTGAAGATAATTCTCTGATTTTTTAAGTACTTCTCTTTTGTGCTGCTGTTCTCAATTCTGAGGGCAATCATTGTCTTTTCACTTATTTCACTGAGTCATTAAAATATCTTTGTTTTTGTGACCTTTATTAGCTTTCTCTTTATACACTCGCAAAATTAACTTTATGTTGATTAAAAGTGGGTCAGAATTTCAGCGCAACTCAGCATCTTTTCAAAATGCTGCCTGTCCCCTTACCACCATGGCAGGGAGAAACAGATCCTAGAGAATGGGGTTAAGGTTTCTTTAGCTCAGTTTTTCATCAATTCAGCAAACATCGAGTGATTGAACATTCTTTGTCAGAGATGTCCTCAGTGCTAAAGATGCAAAGATGAAAAAGACATCATTTGTTGCCAGGTGTTTTTTATCTATACTTTAAACTAGAAGTGCACTAGTGCAAAAAATAAAAGCTCCCTAGTTAGCAGATGGTTTTCACAAACTGGGTATGCTAAAGTACATATCATAAAGAAATGTGGAGGTGGGGAAGAGAACACCACCTGCTAATTGTTTTCTGAAAACTTATTTATGAAAAATCTCACAGTGAAATGTCTGTATCAAACAGTTATTATTTTTGACTTTAAGCCAGGAAAGGTTCTTGGGAAGATCTTTGGCTAGGAACTACATTGCTATGGGAAGAAAGAAGAGAGTGTTTTATTTCCGATTGGCTCAAACCTTAGACGTAGGAATACTGTACGCTGAGCAATGTATCATCTTTTTTTTGTGTGTGTTAGTTACTTGGTTTGTCGTCATGACATTAGGATGAAAAATCTGGAATCTTAAATTCTTGCTTTGATGTCTTTCAGTGAGATAAAGTATGCTTCTTAGTTAATCTGCTTATTATAGTTGTGATCATTTAAGATCAGGAAGCTGTTCAGGATAAGAGAAATGTCAGAAAACTTGCTTAACAACAACAACAAAAAACCCATAAAAATTGGAATAAGAAAGCATCAGAGTTTAGTTGAGAAAGGGTTAAAGTTTGAGAACCATGAGAACAGATTGTGTGCGTATATGTGTGTGTGTGTATCTCGTAGGGGGGAATAGCACTATGGATTTGCTACTGAAATATAGTGTTTCCTATTGCCTGTTTCTTTCTTCTCCAGGAGTTCTTTCCATTAGAAATTTGGAGGCTGTTTTGTTTTCTGTCATATTTCTTTGAGGACAGTGAAAGAAGACATGAAGTTGAGTCCTCAAGGCCTTGTTTTTGGAAGGACCACTGTAATAGCCTCTGGCAGTGAACATACAATAGAAATATGCTTTTATGAAGGAGAGAACCAAGGTTTTCCATATCTTTCTTGACACCTTACTTTTGAAAGAATCAGGATGATTTTTAAATCTCAGAATCCATTACTTTAAAAGTTTACCCACGGGGATTTGGGGGATTTTTTTGATCTTATTTTTTGTTTGTTTGTGGGTTTTAGATTGTCTAAATGGGCAAGTATGTTTATGAAATTTTGAGTTGCAGCTCTATGGAAAAGATGGCAGTTGGTCTCTCTGCTTTTAGGTTTTCCCTCTTCCTCCCTGGATGCTCCTTGGTAGTGTCCTTTGTTGATCCCTCCTCCTCTCCCCAGAATTGTGAGTGTTCCTGGTTCCCCTCTCTGTCCTATTACCGCTAAGGCTTTCTTTGTCTGAGTTGATGGCGACTAGTTGTTCAGGCCAAACACTTGGTGGAAGTCATCGACACCTCTCATTCTCTCATCCTTATATCCAATCCATTCCAAAATCCTCTTGACTAAACTGTCAACACAGATCCAGCTGATCATCCCTTCATGCCAGCCTGGTACAAGCCACCATCATTTCTTGCTTAGCTCTTGACACATTAGCTTCTCTCCTTGCCTCTGTGTTCTCAATATAGAACCCAATCTGATCCATTTAAAACAAAAATTAGTTTATGCCATCCTTCTTCTCAAAACCCTGCATTGAATACCCACGTTCCTCACATTTCTTGAACACATTAGACAGGCTCCCATGTCTTCCCCTCTTTGTTCTCTTGGCCCACTCCCTCATCTCCACATCAGACCTTGCCTTTTCAGTGAGGTTCATCCTGCCCACCCTGTATAGCAGGGCAGCCTGCCTTTTTTCCTCTTGGCACTTCACATCTTCTTTACCCTGCTCTACCTTTTTTCCCCCATATGCTTATCACCTTCTAATATAGTATAGAAGTGTACATCCAATATGGTAACCATTAGCCACACATGGCCCTTTTAAATTAGTAAAAATTAAAAATTCACTTCCTCATTCACACTAGCCACATTTCAGATGCTCAATAGTCATGTGTGGCTAGTGTCTACTGTTTTAGATAGAGAAAAAAGAGAATATTTCCGTCATCACAGAAAGTTCCACTGGACTGTTCTGCTATAGAATTTACTGATTCACTATGTTTATGTCTCTATCTCATTTGCTAGAATGTAAACTCCGCAAAGGCACAGACCTTTCTCTGTTTTATTTACTGGTAGAAAAATCTTCTAAAACAGTGCTTGGCACATAGTAAGTGATCAATATGTACATTTAATTGAAAGGAATTACCATTTTAAGTCATTAAAAAATTAGATTTCTGTTTCAGTTCACAAAATAAAAATATTTGCAGCTATCATGTTTGAACACTTATGTGCTGGGCCTGGCACCCCACTAAATACTTCCTGTAGCTCATTTCATTTAATAGTATGTGTGTGTGTGCGTGTGTGTTCGTGTAAAATTCCCGTTATAAGGGCTTGGAGAGATTAAGAGGCCTGACCAAGGACACAAAACTAGCTTAGTGGTAGAGCCAGCATTGGAACCCAATACATCTGACTCCCAGTGGCCAGGACTTCTGCTTTCTGAGTTTTAGGTTAATTCTGGAGCTGAGGTTAAATCTGCCTTCTACTTAGCTGCTCATGTGGGGATTAAAGTTAATGATACGTTTTTTTCAAAAAGGAAATGTTATACTTAATGCTGAGTTGTCTTGGCAACACAGAATGAGTTTAAGGATCAAGTTTTATTTAAAACCTTGATTCACTTGAGTTAAGATCTTAGATTTCAATAACCTAAAAAATTATTCATCCATCCAAAAATACTGACATGAAATGTATTTTTAGGATTGCAGTTAGTCATAAAAGAAGCTATCACCTGTCACTTTTAGAGTATTCTCATTTTAGTCTCTATTCTGTTGATTTGACCTCTTGGTTATGTGCTTGCACTTGCTTATTTCCAAGTAGATTGTATTTGTGTGTATAAAATAAAATCAATTCTTAAAAATTAAGGCACAATTGAGCAGTGCAAGTGAACTTTATTTTCCACAGGTTCTTTGTTGTTGTTGTGTTAAGGTGACAGTTACTGGGATTTTTATCAATTTAATAAACCAGGATAAAGGTGATAATAGTAAATCCTTAATGAATGTTTTTTGTGTGCTAGGTGCTCTGCTAAGACCTTTATATGCATCATCTCATTTAATCCTCACAAAAATTTTTTGAAATAGGTACTGTTCATAGCTAAGAAAATTAGGTTTCAAAGATGACTAATAAGTGACTGGAAGAGCATATGGACATGCTTCTCCCCACCCCCAGTCTCCAAGAGGAATCTGTATCCTTCAGGGAGAATATATTCTTCAAAAAGAACCTAGAGATAATTGATTTAGAAATATCTACAGTAAAGGAGATATATTTTTATTTGCCTATGCACATTCTTTCCAAGTCTTTCACATTCTTAGATTGTGGGACTTTTAGGACAGCTGTCTCCGAATGCCTTCTACATTTGAGTCAAGAGCAGTGCTTGTCAAAATGAGCTTTACACTCCAGTCACATGAGGAGCACTTAAAAATCCTGATGCCTGAGTCCTGTCCCCAGAGACTCTGATTTAATTGGTTTGGAATAGTGCCTGGGTACTGGGATTTTAAAAGTTCCTTGGGTAATTCCAATGTCCAGCTCGGGTTGAGAATGAGTGGTGTGTACCAGTGGTTACTAAACTTGTCTGCATATTGGACTCATGGGGAAGCCTCAAAAACTACTGATGCCTGTGCCATTCCCTGGAGAGTGTGATTTGTTTGGTCTGAGCTTCAGCCTTGATTTTGGAAGTTTTAGATACACAGCCGATTCCAATGTGTAGACAAGGTTTGGGGCCCTCTGGTTTGATGCGGTGGTTTTCAGCCTTGGCTGTACATAAGAATCATTTGGGGAACTTTTAGAGCTCTTGTTCTTCTGGCTTGCAAATGTTCTAATGAAACAGACTCTTTGGAGGTAGACCTAGGTGATGGTAGTTTTTGAATCTCCCAGTGATTCCAATGTGAAATCAAACGTGAGAACTACAGATCTCTTCTTTTTCTCTCCTCTATGCCTCTGGACCAACTACATTTAGTTTCCCAATTCAGGGTACTGGAGGAATGCATAGGGAAATGATTGGTCTAGAAGAGGCTTTTCCTTATGTGGATGGACTGAGTTCATTTTCTTAGATCAACATGAAAGAAGGCAAGGCTAAGCAAATTATTGAAAGTGATGTATTCTGCATTCCAAATAATTATTAATAGCTAACACAGTTAGTTTTGCCTGCTTGTATTGATGTTGTTTAAAAAGCACCAAAACTAAGGATGAGATTGCTGACTTCTAATTTAATAATTCTAGTTTTTTTCTCCCCTCTGGCTCTTGTATTTTTTGACTGAATGAATTTGCCCTCTAAAATCAAAGAATCACTAAGAAAAATGTGACATCCTCAATCTGTGTCTTATTTAGCTTGTTCATTTTCTCTGTACTTTAGGAGTACCAGGTGTCCAAGCAGAGCGCTTTGAAGAAGGAATGACAGTAAAGCACTGTGCATTGTCCCTTGTGGGAGAACCAATAATGTACCCAGAGATCAATAGGTTTTTGAAGCTACTCCACCATTGTAAAATCTCCAGTTTCCTGGTCACAAACGCACAATTCCCCATGGAAATCAGGTGAGTAATTCAGCCCATTGAGATATGCTCCTGGAATCTATGTTTGACTGCAGAGTAAAACTAATAGGCACTAGTACATTCAAAGAGGATTTGTTGATTATTTGCTACGTATAAATGTTGGGTTTTGGGAGATGAAGATATTCCTGCTCTTCAAAAATCCATTCTGTTGTAAAAATCCATTCACA